CTCTCTTTGTGCATCTTTCCCTGTGCCTATGACTTCCTGGGAAGAAACAGACAAGCTCAAAAAAACAGTCTACAGGTGCAGTTACCACAAAGCATATACTGAGTTAATACTCTTTTTTTAAAAAAGCTTCGGTGGACATTGGCCTAGTAGTTTAGCCATCAGTGGAGATACATGTAGTATCAGAAGGCCTGGGTTCAAGTCACAGTTCTGTTCCTGCTTCCAGGTTCCTACAAATACAGACTTTATGAATCAGCAGATGAGAATTGAAGTAGTTCTGTCTCTGCTACGTGGAAGGCCCTGACTGAGTTCATAACTCCTGACTGTGGTCTCGCTCCAGCTTTAGCTGTTGTAGACATTTGAATACTGAACTCCTAGGTGGGAGATCTCTCACTCTCTAACTCTTGGCTCCAAGTAAACTTTGAAAAGTTTAAATTCAATATGGAGGCTACTGGTTCAAACATATAAAACTAGATTTGCTACTTCAGTGTCATGTAAGTTCCCATTATTCTCGTGAGTGTTTCAATACCTTCTAAGGGAATTCAGCCCACACACATATCCTGAACGTAGTGTTAGATCCTGTCACTGAGACACTTCAGGACACCCTGGAAGCTATAGCCCTTACATAAACTACCTGTGAGAAGCAGTTGAAGTTAATTCTTGCAGTTTTCTACCCTGTACAGAGACCGCCATAGTTATTTTCTTAACCTCTTTCTCCTGCATCCTGGCCCTTTTTATACAGAGAACTTAAAAAGCTGTGGCTGTTGCCCTAATAATGTTTTGCATTTTTGCAGAAATAGGGGTGATATCCCATAATTGTGTCATTTTCTTCCAGGCAGTAGACTGTATGTGATCAGTGATTAGCTCATGAAATCAAGTAAGAGCTGTCAACATCAAAGCCACAAAGATTTCCTTCCAATGAGGCTGTTCTGTATCCTGCAGATGAGAGTGCCTGCTCCACCTGTCAGAGCCAACCCCCACTGAAGAAAGTCCGTGAGGGTTGACTCTTGTACCCCCAGAATCCCTGGGTTGACACCAAAACACTTGATATCTCAGAGCATGGTTGTGTATGGTTGTTACCCTTTTAACAGAAGAATTCTAACTCCTTAGGATGGAGAATGCAAGGACACAGGCATGAACAGGGCGAAGACCACATAAGGACCTGGGGGAAGAAAGCCATCTGCCAGCATCTTGATCTCAGATCTCAAGACCCAGAACTGGCAAGAAATACACTTCTGTTGTTTTCAGACACCCAGTCTGTGGCACTTGCTTTCGGCAAACATAGCAGATGACTAAAAAATAAATCCTTAGCTCAGGGGCATCCAGTGAAATTATTCTGTTCCTGGACAAGCTGGCTCATCTCTTAGCGTTTAATCTTTCTTGCTTTTGATAAACCATCTCATGTAAGGTAGGCTTGTTGATGCTTTGGCTTCACTTCCAATTTAGATTCACCCCAGAAAACACTAAGTAAAAATAATGCATTATGCTCCAATGTGTTGCCATTTATTTACTTTCAAAGAGCTATGACATAGAAAAAAAGAAAATTTTAACCACAAACCTGTACATTTTAGGTGTGGAAGCAGACAACTTCTTCATCTAAGCTGCCTTCAAATATGCACAGAAATCTAGTGAGGTTTCCCCACTGATGTCTTACCGTATTTTAACCTTGATTTATTTTTTCAAAAAATGTTATTTGTTTTCATTTTATTTGCAAAGATAAATGAGGAGAGATATCCACAAAAGCTGGGATCATCATGACAGGCCGGAGCCTCCCCTGTGAGTAGCAGGCCCCTGGTATTAGCCGTGAGCTGCTGCTTTTCCAGGGTGTGCCTTAACAGGCAGCTGGAATAGGAAGCAGACTCAGGATTTCAAATTATGCATTATAATATGGGATACGGATATCTCATGAAGCATAAAACCACTGTGCCAAACAGCTGTCCCTCTTACACTCTCTTTAAAACTTAAGCATTCTAAGAGGCTCTTGGGTGAATGCCCAGGTTTTTTTATAATCATCTAATAGAGGTGGATTGTGGTGAGATGTGACTGCCCAAATCCAGCTTTTTTCAGGCCTTACCCATTTGAAAAATCATTAATCCTTTGTTCAAAATGTTTCGTTAAATTGTAAGCTTTCTCGGGCCTGGCACAATGACTTAATAGCTAAATATTCTCTTTGCAAGTGCCAGGATCCCATATGGGCAACAGTTCATGTCCTGGCTATTCAACTTCCCTTCCAACCCCCTGCTTGTGGCTTGGGAAAGCAGTAGAGGATGTCCCAGAGCCTTGAGACCCTGCACCTGGCTTCAGATCAGATCAGCTCTGATCGTACAGCCACTTGGGGAGTGAATCAGTGGATAGAAGATCTTTCTCTTAGTATGTCCTTCTCTTTGTAAATCTATATTCCCAATAAAAATAGATAAATCTCTAGAAAGTAAAATAGGTTTGAAACTTTTCCTAAAGGCGAATGTATCCTTTTCCCCCAGTAAATATCTTTTTATTCTGTAAATAATCTTCATGAGACATTTATTGAAAACCTGAAAGAACGGAGGAGTATAGGAGAAACTCGGGTGATATCTCATTTCATCCTCCTTTCAGCTTTTGATAAAGATGTCATTACTTTACTCTAAAAGCAAATTAGATCTTAGTTTGGTAAAGTGATTTGGTCATGGCTAGAAACAGCCGGTCAGGACCTTGCCCAAATGCTAAGACACACTCAGCATGCCCTCTGATAAATCAGACCCAAGGCCTCCAACAACAGAAATGTGTGGCTTCCTACATCATCTCCCAGGAGACCCCCATTGGCCGCTGCCATTGGCATTACCTTTTGGAAATGAAGTTCTTCCCAACAGCTGTGCGTGTTGCTGTGAATGAAGACCCGCTTTTCAGAGTGAAGGCTTGGGATATTATCACTGGGACTTCAGGCAGAGGCAGCTCCTAGGGAGAGCAGATTTTACTCTGTTTCCCCGAAGGCAGACTATACTCTCTGCCCTCAGATCTGCAGGCATCTGTTCCACTCCCCCCCCCCATGATCTTAGGCATGCTTTCACTCCAACACTCAGTGGTGTCTCCTTTAAAAGGAACAGCCAGGGTCCAGGCTGTTTGAACAAATGAGGTCCAGAATGATGGGAAGATGATGGGAAGTACAAGTCCTCCAAGTGTCATCATCTCTGAACTGACTGGAATAGAAGAGAAATACTCTGGCTCCCTCCCCTTGTCCTGATGGAGCACACTGCACTATGAACCATGGTGTCTCCACAGTGCCAGGCCAGGTTGTGCTAAAGTTACTACAGCAGGATTGTGCTTGGTTCAGCATCCCAGTTCTCACTCCCTTCCTCACCCGTGCCCCTTGCTAATCTCAGCCCGTATGAATTTTCCCCATGCTACTACTTAAGAAAATAACTCCTAATTGCAAGGTTTTTTTTTTTTCCTTACTCAAAATGACATTTTTTAGAATTAAAGGTGCAGCATAGTACCATTTGTGCAAAATTTAAAACATATCATGTATATATTTCTGTGGATACATTTAGGTATAACAAAAATATAAAATATATGTAAGAATGTTGGTGACAAATTATAGAAGATTTATCACTTTATCAAAAAAGGGACAATTATTTAATGAAATCTATAATTTTTTTTTCTTCCGACTAAATAGAAAATGCATACATGCTCAAGTTTATCTCATGGTCCGCTTACTGCTGAAGAGTTTAAGACAGAGGATCTTACACTATGAGTTATCTTTTCCATTTTAAATACACACGTGTGCAAATACACTGTTGTTACTTAACTGAAGTCTTAATTTAGGCTCATCCAGCAACAAATGCTAAAACCCATGCAAATAGTACTGGGGATGTGAAGTGCTGGATTAACAAACACTGCTGGAAAAGGGAAGCAGTCGAGGGACTAAGCAAGGCACATTCATTCTCTCAGGGAAGCGCTAGGGGTTCCTAATGCAACATTTATATGTGGTGCTGGCATTGTGGGGCAGGTGGTAAAGCCACCACTCACAATGCCAGCATCCCACATGGGTGTCGGTTCATATCCCAGCTGCTCCCCTTCTGATCCATATCCCTGCTAATAGCCTGGGAAAAGAAACAGAAGACAGACTAAGTATTTTGGCCACTGTCACTCATTTGGGAAGCCTGAATGAAGCTCCTGGCTTCAGCCTGGACAGTGCCCAGCCATTGTGAACATGTGAGGACTGAACTAATTAAAACATATAGTGATTTATGCGATAAAGGCTTAATTTTCAACCTTTTACAGTTACTGTTCAGGGAACAGAATTAAATATTTTGAGGAAGCCCCATTTATCGACTTTCTGTACAGATCTTGCACTATAAACTTTGTTATTATTTCTGAAGATATGCATTCATTGCAATTGTGACTGCTCTTATACATTAAATTTCATCTTTGTTTATTGCTAATGTGGAAATATAATTGATTGGCGAAATATCAATGCTCTTAGAAAATGTATAACATGAGAAGTTGAATAACATGCTACTGAGTGAGCAATGTGTCGCTGAAGAAATGAAAAAGAGAATCAAAGACCTTTCTGAAGCGAATAATGCTGTTGTATGACCTATGAGTCAGTGAGGAAATTAATAGAAAAACAAAAACTTTTTTTTGAATGAATGAAAAATAAAGAAAAAGTATGAACCACCCTGAGGTGTAGCAAAAACAGTATTGAAAGGGCTCTTGATCTTGTGTTTTGCATGAAGGTTGCCTTATATCAGAGAGAATATATGCTATTTGGGTTGATTTGTTTCACTGAGCATAATGGTCTCTAGTTGGGATCATTTGTTGCAAATGGTACAATTTCTATCTTTTTAATGGCTGATTAGTATTCCATGGAGTGCATGTACCATGGTTTCTTTTTTTTTTTCCTGATATATTCCATAGTTCTGGGATTTCTCTTATTTCCTCCCCACATTCCCTCACTCCCCACTGAGTTCCCCTATATTATCATAATAGTATACTCCTTCATAAGCAGTCATAAGTCCATTATTCTAAAACATATGGAATGCTTCATGAATTTGCATGTCATTCTTGCTCAGGGGCTATGCTGTTCTTCTCTGTATCTTTCCAGTTTTAGCATATGTGCTGCTGAAGTAAGCACACCACAGTTCCTTCTTCCACTCCTCCTTTGATGGCCATCTGTGTTGTTTCCATGTCTTTGCTATTGTAGATTGTGCTGCTGTAAATATAGGATTGCAGATCCCTTTCTCATATGCAGATTTCATTTCTGTTGGCTACATTTCCAGGAGTGGGATAGCTCAGTAATACAGTAGGTCAGTGTTCAGTTCTCTTAGCACTCTACATACAGACTTCCATAGTGGTACCATTTATTTTTGGTGGTTATACTATGATGTGTTTCTAGGTTATTTCAACATTTATGTATCAGTTTTAGCTGTGGCTCATTTAACTTCTTAATGATGCTTTTTCAAACGTTCTTCCTACTGCATGGCTCTGTTTCGCCTCCTAGTGTCCAGGCACATGCATGTTGGACTTTCTCCATTGATTCCTTGGTTTTATTTTGTATTTCTATTTCTATGTTACTTAGAATTTTAATAAAAATTAATCTTACTATTTAAAATAATGTAAACATTAAGCATCAAGGATAATGCCATTGCTTAGGTCACTGGTATTTTATTCTGGTGTCTGCTATGTACTTTGGTATCAGTAACACTGTTTCTTTGTCAATACTTATTTGGTTACTTCTTTTTCTTTAGCAGCTTGTTCTGACATAATTTGCAGGCCATAAAACTTAACAGCTTAACACGAACAGTTAAACAGTATTTAGCATGTTCACCAGATCTCTCCACTATCACTGTAGTTAATAGAAACAGTTCATTGCTTTCCCCTCCCCTTGAAATTCAGCTTATCATCAGTCAGTTCCCGTTAACTCCAGTGTTCCAGGCCTAGACAAGTAACATACTTCTGTTTCCATGAATTTTCCATGAATGTCTGGACATTTCACAAGCACACACAGACACACACACACACCCCTATCTCTTTTTATATGCTTCTCATATATACACATTTTGTATGTATATGTATGCATATTCGTATTATATGCATATAACACACACATATACACATACATATATAATATAACATCTCTTGTATATTATATAATGTGCTCCCTTTTATATGGTTCCCATATATGTGTTTGTGTTATATGCATATAAACATGCATATGTAAACATGCATATAATATCTATTATATATATAATAGATAATGTGTGTTTTATATACATGTATAATATTTATGTGTGATTTCTTTATTGCTGACTTCTTTCACAGAACATGATGTTTTTAAGATTCATCAGTTTGGTATCTTGTATCAATACTGCATGCCTTCCCTTGTCAAATAATAATTTGTTGTATGCTTAAATCATTTCTTTTCTTTTTTTTTGATGACCGGAAGCCAAAGTTTGTTCCGACTTTATACACTGAGGGTCATATAGAATAAGGGAGGAGGTATTGAGCTTATCAACAAAACCCATAAACTATTTCTACACTTTTGTTTGGAACTCCTTTTGTCTTGTATATTCCACCAAGTGTTCTCATTCACATGCTGTCCACTCAACCGTTCTCATAGAAATGATGTCCATTTAGTTACACGAATGGTACACACTCAGTTGTTCTCATACAAATATTGTCCAATCAGTTATGCAAAAGGTATCCATTCAATTGTTCTCATACAAAGGATATCCAATCAATTGCAATCCTGTGCATGCTGACCTTCTAAGCTCACAATGTCCTTCTACAAATCCCCCTTCTGTGTTTTGTAAAATTAAGCCTGAAAGATGAAATTAGGGCGAACATACTCTTGAAAGAGCACAAAATGGGGAGAAGTAATATTTTACATTAGAGAAAACTAACAGTCATAATTTCTCCCCAGCAGTTTTGCATTTCTATGAAAATTTTAGAATCATCATGCTAGTATCTGTAACAAAGCCAGCTACACTTTTGAGAAGAATTATATTTTAGCTGTAGATCACTTTGGAAGATATTGACATCTTAATGGTATTAGGCATTTTGCTTGATAAATGTGGCATTTATTTCCATGCATTTAAGTTTTTCTTTGATAAAATTTAAAATTTTTTTCAACGTGCACAGTTTACACTGCTTTTGTTAAATTAATTTCTAATAATTTATTTTAATGCTACTATAGTACATTGTCTTCATAATTCCATTTTTTAGAATGCTTATTGCTAGTCTATGGAAATGTGACTTATTTTTGTGTGTTAATCATGCATCTTGCAACTTCATGCATTTCATTTCATAATTTGAATGGTTAATTTTAGGTGGATTTGTTAAAATTTTCTATAAACAAGCTTCGGTCTTCAAACAGAACTAGTTTAAAATATTTCTTTGTAGTCTAAATGTAATTTCTTTACTTTTCTTGCTAAATGTTGTGTCTAGGACCTCAAGTTCAATGTAAACTGGAGCAGCCTTAATACAGAATCAACCAAGGTATCCATCAGCAGATTAATGGACACATACCACATTTTTAAATTCTTTTATGAAAATAACTTAATTCTACCAATTGCATAAAAATAAATATGACTCAAGGACTTCCTAAATGAAATAAGCTCAACACACAAAGATGAATATTACATGTTCTCCTTTATTCTAGAACTAAAATAAAAAAGTAATAATAAAATAAACCCATATGAGATCTTGCCATATGCAAGGATTTAGCCACTAGGCTACTACACTGGGCCCTATCATCATGTTTGTGGGATACTAAACTGACACGGTGATGGAATCATCTTGGTTAAGTCCTCAGATTGAAATAGAATCTCCTCTCAGTTGATACAGCAGCTGCATTCCTGAAAATGTCAGTGCAGAATATCACTGTGCAAAGAGAGGATTGATAGTCATTTTTATTTGTTTCTGCCCTGCCTGAGTATCCCATGAGCAGGAGGCAATACAACTGTTGCCTGTGCTGAAGAATTTTTCCAGAAGCCCATCTCTTCTAGTAAATGATAGAGAGAAACCACGTGCTTCTTCAGAAAGCCCCATGCCACTGAGGCCTACCACACAGTTCCAACTCTTCGGGAGTCCAAGGTCTGGGTGATGTGTTAGAGATTACAAAATTACAGCACTTTTCTCATAGTATTAAAGTCATTATATTTTAAAGGGATAAAATATGATATTTCCAACTTTTTCATGACATTAGAAGAGCATAAATGCTGAATAGATTGACCCTCTAAATCCATGGTGGGATTGGAGTTCACCTTGTGCTCTTATTAGGTTTAAGAATCAATTGATGTTCTAGGATCTTCTACTCTGCAGCATATCCATGTGATGATTCTGTATTTTGTGTATGTGGTGGGATATGTGGTGTGTCCGTAGGGAAATGTGTTGTGTATATGGTGTAGGTGGCACATGAACGTGGTATGTACTGATCTGTCTGCTGTGATATGCATGGTGCGTGAGTGTGTTGTTGTGATTTGTGTGTTTATGTGGTACATGCACACATCGTATGTGTGGCATTAGTTTGTGTCATTTAGCTCTATGTGGGATGTTTTGATGTATGTTTTTGAACGTGTGGTCTGCATGGTGTGTTAGGAAATGTTAGGGTGTTTATATCTGCCCCGTGTGTGGCAGATGTGAATGTTTGTCGTACATTTTATGTGTGAGATATGGAGCAGTGTTTATGATACAGGATACATGTGTAGGTGGTATGTGTGGGAAGTTTGTGTGGCATACGTAAAGATTATGCTGCATGCATGTGGTATTTACATGGTGTGACTATGCTGGCACATATGCTGAGTCCGTTGGCTATATTCAATGTGAGCAGTGTGTGATCCATGTTGAGTGTGTGTGTGCATGTGGTGTGGGCATGGGATGTGTATCTTGTTCTGTTCGCTGACACTGCGGAACACTGCATCCAGGTCCTCTCAAGCTCCTGGAGATTTGCTGAAGGTATGACTTGCTACAGTGATTATTATGGACACTACTCTTGGATACTGAGGCCATTAAACCTTTTTTCTTGGAGTCACTGGGCCTCATAAACTCCCATTGTTGGTTAGAGCAGGTCATTTTTCTGTCAACAGACTCCAATGCTGCTCCTGTTTTGGGCCAGAGGCAATAGAAAATAGAACAGAATGCATCAGGGAGACAGAGAGGAGCTAGACAAAAACTCTCGGTTTCATCAAAAGCCAAAGCCTGCATGGGCATAAAGGGCTGCAAAATCTTAACGCTTATTGACTTGTTCCATATGTGCCAAAAATGAGTAAGTAACTAGATAAAGAAGCAAATAAATGCAGCAGCAGCAGCAAGGAGGCGTCTTTGTAGAAGAGTAAGGGAAGGATTTGGGAGGAAGGGTCCTACTTGAACCAGAGAGAAAATCTTGAAATCAAGAGGAAGCGTATCCAAAGCCACTGGGGGGAATCCAGAGCTTCTCTTGCACTCAGAGTGCTTCCCTGAAGGCAGTGGAGTATATATGAGAGTAACAGACTTTGGTGGCCTCAGCCCACAAAGAGACCTTTATACTGCAGTAAATTGGGAGCCACTGAAGGTTTTTAGTCAGAAAACTTGTATAATTGGCTCAAGAAAATATGAAGCATGTTGTGGAGAAATTGTGAAATTATAAAGAAGATTCAGGAGGCTGGTGGCAAATCCAGGGAAGAAGCAGGGAGGATCTGAACCAAGACAGAAACAAGAAAATTAAACTGATGGACACAAATTCGACCTCGACCTGATCCTTTGATGATCAAAGAAAAAAATCTGGTAGCTGGGCAACTGATGTTTTTTTTTTTTTTTGCCCTCCTTTCTGGTGGAAATTATAATTTTATCTACAAAAAGGGATAGTGAAAAAATTGGATTTCACTACATGAGAGAATTCATTTGGTTTTAGACACATTGAAATGAATGTCTATAAATTATCCAAATGGAAATATCAAGATCAGAGCTGGAATTTAAGTGAATGAGGCTAAAGTATAAATTGACAAGACATTCTGTTATGGGACATGGGAGCTACTGACAGGAAAACTGAAGAAGAATCACTTGTAAATGCAACTCATTTTCATTTGAATGCCACTTACGACGTAATTATCCTCAAAATTATGCCTGAAAAATATAGTTGGAGTGCACTTACATAGC